AATGTAAACAACATTACAGACATCAACCACAGTCTAGAAATCCAGAGATCACAGTTTACAGAATTTACAATTCTTACATAAATCCAAGAGGATGAACACAACCTCATTTGATCAACCAGAAGCAATGATTCAGCTACTCCGCACCACTCCTAGAATCTCCTGGGAGGGGTTTAATATTTGTAAAAACAGATAAAACGTGAGTGAAAAGCCCAGTAGGATATAATTTGAAATAAACTTTATAAATAACTAAATGAGCGGTAAATAATTAAATGAATAAGCAAATAAATGAGACATTCAGTTCCAACACAACAACCGGAACCTCACATTATTTTTCTCAAAGGAAATATATCTGAAAATATCTGTATTACAGGCATCAACAAGTAATTTATACAAATTACTTACACAACCACGTGCACAAACCTTCCTGGCCCGGGTTTCGGGTCCTGCCCCTGAGGATGCACTATCCACATCCTATCTAGGCCATCAGCCAAATTTTTACAGGTTCGCAAGATCTCTTTTCTTAAAAAATCATTCATTAAACTTTCTGAAATCGTTATTATAATCCCACGAACTACACAAGCTGTGGGCCCCATGAACTACAACAAGCCATGGGTTCCATGAACTAAACAAGCCATGGATTCCATGAACTATAACAAGCCATGGATTCCATGAACTACACAAGCCATGGTTTTCAAATATTTTTCTTTCGCAAACAAGCCCCTTTCTTTAAAACATTTACAAGGCCAAAACTCTTTTGAAAACAGGCTCACAAGGAAAAGGGGATAGAAATCCTACCTCTCAAGTATCAAACCTGTGACTAGCATGGCTCTATTCCGGCTTCTGCTTCTTCAAAGCCTCTCAATCTGAGTCCTCAGCTAGCACTGATACAAAACAACACTTTAGGATCCAATTCTCATTCCTAAAGCAATTCAATCTCAATTATACCAAGATTTCCTATTAGTGTCCCCTAATCAAATTTCATGTTTCAAATCATTATTTCAAGGGTTTTCAATCTCAAAACACGGATTAAAGATGCTAATCCATCTATCTCAAGTCCTCAAATGAAGCTAATTTGAGTTCTCCTCGAAAATAGAGGTCAAAACAACATTTTTAGGCAAAACAGGGTCAAACCTTATGTACATCGGTCGACCGGTGACAGAGCAGTGCATCACCACCGGTCGACCAGCGGTGTGCACTCCGGTCGACCGCATAGGTCAACCGGTTGCCATGCGTTCCGGTCGACCGGATAGGTCGACCGGTGGGATCAGCAGGGCTAGAAAACTCGCCAAAACTAGTCTGAAAACCTATAAATCCAGTCCCAAATCGAAATATCTCAAAAGGAAAGCACTAGATCTGGGTTCTAAGTACTAAATCATGTCCAAAGAACCAAAGATCTCTAATTCTACCACGGTTTTACTCAAAATCCATGAAAATCCGTTTTGAACCAAAATGGGGTTTTCAAATCCGAAAATCCAAGATTCAAGAGAGGGTTTTTTAAAAATCTTACCTCAAATCCTTCTCTTGACGTTGAAAACTTATTTAAATCCTTCTTTGGTTGAAGATCCGGTTGTTTTGAGACAAAAATGGGAGAGAGAGAGAGAGAGAGAGAGAGACACCGAGAGAGAGTGAGAGTGAAGAGAGAGAGAGAGACGCCCGGGAAAAGAAAAGGAAAGAAAGAAAAGGAAAAGAAAAGAAAACGGAAAAGGAAAAGAAAAAGAAAAGAAAGGGCATGTGTCACAAAATTAAGGGGCAGTCCAGAAATGTGCCCATACACACTTCTGGGTAAAAATGTAAATACTGAGAATATTTAAATATCTTAGAATTATTTAAATTCACTCGTCAGAAACATTTATTAATTAATATCCAATTAATTAATCCAGATTAGACACACTAATAAATCTCAATTACCTTAATTAATCTCATTTAATTATTCAGAGTGTTACAGAATCTAAGGTGGACTTGGGTTCAAATTCTGAAATGTCATGTCAATGGTTCAAACCCATTTTTACTTTCTACAAAACAAATACGGGTTTGAACCTGAACCGATCAAACCCTTTCTATCCTCCAACCAAACCACCAATTATTATTTTTCAACTTTTAATATTATTCTTTTAAGGGAACCTTCAAAATAAAAGCTACCCTACACGAAGAAGAATATATATATTAAATCTTTTTTTTCTTTTTTTATTAAAGGAAATTCACAAACAGTGCTCCTAGCTTTAACTTCTCTTCTTTTTAGCAATTCACAAACTGTAAGAAAAAAGAAAAATAAGAAGACGAAGAAACAACAAAGAAAGTTTGCTTCTTTTTTTTTTTTTTTTTTTTAGGTTCATTTATTCCTAGCTTCGGCTTGAAGTAAAACAGACCATCTAGTGGTCGTTAGACTCAACACAAAACACAACTGCTAGAGATCAAGTTAATCACTGGAAAAGACTAAACGCATTTCCAAAGAGGGAATATTCCATTAAAAAAAAAAGAAAAAAAGTTAAACACAATAGAATGAGTTTAGTTTTCACGTTGGATTGGTAGCTTCTAACTTCCTAAAGGAATTAACTTTGGTTAAAGATAATTAACAAATTATTCCTAGCTTTATAAGTTTTCTCTTTTATCTAATTCACAAACGAATAAATGAACAAGTAAAGAATCCCACTCTTTTTTTTTTTGTACAATAGTATAAAACATATTATGATGAGGGCGAGGCTTTTGGTATTCAAAAATACTTAACTGGATAAGGTTATACTTTTTCCTTTTTTTTTTTTTTGAGTTAAAGTTGGAGAATTTTACGGTGTTGAAATAAAAATAAAAGATTTTGTAGGAAAACAACTATTAATATTCGTTTCAGAGCTCCGATAACATCGTCGTTCAATAGCATTAAAGCTCTGAATGATTCATTACTAGGCCGTACGTATGCTTCAATATTCATTAGAAAATTAACAAATTAAGTGGTCAAAACGGACCAAATTAACGCAGTAAAACTGTAAAACAGACCTAGAGACACAAGTTTTAAGGAAAGCTATAATCACTCGATATTCATTTCCCTATAGAATATAGCAAGCACTTATAAATATATAAAAAGATAATAACATATTCTAGGACTTTCATTAATAGGTCTAAGAATTTAGTTGAGTCAAAGTTCGTACACCATAATTAAATGTTTTTGACAGTTATCAAGCTCTTGAAATAAAAGACCAAGACAAGGTAAATTGTGTAGTGCAACATTATTCAAAAAGGTTATAAGTAATTGCTTATAAGTGAAGACATTATTCTTTAATGGTATGCCTTATGGGGAAAAATCCAAAAGTAAAATCGTGCGAACTTAGGCATAAAATAGTCAATAACATATCAAGGACAGGTGTGAATTGTTACAATTGATATCAGGATTATAATTTAATTAGAAGTGTGACTAATGAGGATGTTGGGACTTAAAAGATGGAGTGATGGCAGAAGTGATCAATCCCTTGAGGCAAAAGAGGTAAGACAAGTTAAGCTGTAAAAACCACATAGCCTAGGGAAAGTTATACGTGATGGTTTATAAGGACACTAAGCTGTGCAATTTGAATAACGTTATATATAAGTGATGGCTTATAAGAACACCATCTGTCAATGGGTACGAGACCTTTTAGGATAAGAGTAAAATCATGCTGATTTTTGCCCAGAAAGGATAATATCATACTAGAAGTGCGCAAGTGGAGGGGTGGGTATTCGACCGTAGGTGAGTGTAAGCCTGTAAAACTATGCAGGATGGATAAGCAAGCTCTATTTTGGAGAAGTTCCTTTATGAAATTCCTGCATAACAAATAAAAACAGAGGAAAAAAAAAAAAGAAAGGGTATCTGTGGTTAAAATTCAAAATATGTAATTGATGAATAAATTCCCATATTTTAAGATGGAATATTGAATAATTAGGCTTTAAATCATACTTATAAATCATTTCAACTGAAAACAAGGTTTATACCTACGTGGATTTAACGTAAGAGAGTACATAAATTAGTGCTCACTATGTTGATCTTAGGCTCTAAGTACGACATTTGTGCGTTTGTTGATCTCTTTTTTTTTTGTTTTTTTGTTTTTTTGTTTTTTCTTTTTGTTTTTTTTTTTTTTTTGTTTTTTTTTTATTTTTTTTGTTTTTTTTTTGTTTTTTTGTTTTTTGTTTTTTGTTTTTTTGCTTTCGGGTTTTAAAAGCAATTATTTAGAGTTAAGCTATATCTCTTCAAATTCCTTCTAGAGAAAGTTATAACAAGAAAGATTAGTCGTGTTCAACAAAAACCGATTCCACGACGATAAAGTTATATGCATACATCAGATTCACTTTAACTATAGACTGATTCTAACTCCCCATAGTAGTTCTTTAATTGCAGTAACACGGAAATAATAAATCCCTACTCAATCTTTTGCTTTTATTTCTTTTTTTATTTCTTAAAGACACTTGTGGTCAGTTTGGCATTATTGTGACGTTGAAATTTTTTGTTCTTATTGTGTTGTTAGTTAAAAGTTACCATGATCATGAAAGCATGTTGGTATTTGGTATTTTCTTTTTTCACAACTACTGTGAATATTAGATGTAGAAATTTATGTGTTTGATAAGTTCTGCATGAAATTGTTAGAGATGTATAATTGTTAAAATAAACATACTTTAATACACATATTTATAATTCGTTTTATTTTTATTTTTAAGGTAAATATTCATAATATTTTTACACCAAAACCCTAACATGTTAGACAAAAACAGGATTTACTAAACACTTTAACCTATAGCTTCTTAAAAAAAAAAAAAAAAAAAAAAATTAAAACCAGCCTCTAAAAGCAATGTCAAATGAGCACATAACAATTTATTCCTATGTTTAGCTTTTTTTTTTTTTTTTGCTTTAGCTAATGAACAAAAATAAATAAATAAATAAATAAAAGTGTGAGAGAGAAACAAGTAAAGAATCCTTGTCTTTTAAACTTGAGCCTTTATATAGAGCATATTGATGAGTGCAGTTAAGGAAATAAGTACAGCAAATTTGATTAGCGCATCACATTTCTTGGAAAAATGAGCGTATTCAATGATGATGAGCCGATTCTTCCAACCCAAGACGACTCAGGTTTATCAACACGTTTTCTTCTTTACTTCATATGACATGATCGAGTATTTTACGTTTTTAGTATTCGTTTCAACTAATCAAGGGTTGGGCGCACACAATTTCAGCATTTGAATCATCGATATTCCTTTTATTTTTTTTTCCCTTTTTTCAATGTATTAGCATATTATGGTTGACTCTTGTCATGTCAATTTGTTTTTATCCGCTCCTTGTCTTCTTAAAAATATCATGCCACGTATATGAACTACAATGATATCCTAATAGAATTCTATTTTAGTTAAAATATTTTAATTGACGCGGATGATATTATTGAAAGACATAGGGTGCGTTTGGTAGATGGATTCAGAATCATGATTCTAGATCCTGGTTCAAAATCAGTGTTTGTTTACAGTGATTTTGAATCATGATTCAGAATTAGTGTTTAGTTTGAATGATTCAGAATCTGATGTGATATTTTAAACTAGCCCAAATCATGATTCTAAAACCACTCCCCTCTTGATTCAAGGTGATTTAAATCTCTGATTCTGAATCATGGTTTAAGAATCATAATTTGAACCCATAATCATGAATCATGGTTCTAATTTTAGAATCATAATTAGAATCAGCTTAGTTTAAATCCTCGTATCAAACGAACCTTTAAAAGGCGACAGGGTTAGAGAGGGCATGTGAGCTAATTCCATCTTAGCTAGTTTCGTCCTCCCTTGTTAGCTAGCTCACTACAAGAAAAAAGATTTTCTTGGTCATTGAAACTTGGTCGCAGAAAGTACTAACGACCAAATTTGATATGGTTTCAAATTCTTTTGCGACCAAAGACCTTGAATTTGGTCAAATAGGAGGCACGCGCGGCAAGAATTCACAACCAAACTTTGTTCGCAAAAAGATTTTAGGAGACAAACTTGAATTACATACTAGAATATATTTTGCTGAATGCTTGTGTTTCAAATGTAATTATATTTCAGGGGACAAACTTGCATCGTTCTCAGAGTTCAACGTGGGGAAAACAAAGGCGAAAATCATCAACAGAACAAAAGCGCCACTGATAGAAAGCCCATTCAAGGTGATGGTGGAGCTCACGGGGGCAGGGTTTGACAATGATAGACCCGGAGTAGATCTTGTGATGGTCTTAGATATCAGCGAGAGCATGAAGGGACAGAAGTTGGCAAAAATGAAACTTGCCATGCAATTCTTGATCAGGAAACTTAGCCCGGATGATCGTTTGTCTGTCGTCACATTCAGTACTGACGCCATGAGGTTGTGTCCGTTGCGCCAGATAACTAAAAAATCTCAAGTGGAGATTGAAAATCTAGTCAATGATTTAGAGTTTGAGAAAAAAACAAACATCACTGCTGGCCTTTTAATGGGCTTAAAAGTTCTTGATGAGCGCAAACTTACCAACGGTCGTGTGATTGCCATCATGCTTATGTCCGACGGTTGGCAAAACCTTGGTGATGATGCTACGAAAATTCAGGTCAATGACGTGCCAATATACACATTCGGTTTTGGCCTAAACCACGATCCAAGTGTATGTACATAACCTTTAAATATTGCGAAACTTGCACAACTTTACTATTTCATGTATACTCAATTCGATATTATTGTTGGTTTGATCGTGCCAGTTGTTCTCTCTCTTTTGATTTAAAAAACAAAAAATGTGTACTGGTTTGATAGGCGCTCAAAACAATTGCTGACAACAGCATGGGAGGAACATTCTCAGATGTTCAAAACCAAAACAACTTGAGCATTGCATTTTCGCAGTGTTTGGCCGGGCTTCTCACCGTGGTTGTTCAGGACCTACAGCTGACTATCAAACAAGGTGACCAAGAATCGACAATCGAGAAGGTGTCTGCCGGAAGCTATCCACAATCCAAGAATGCTGATTCTGTAACTATTTCGTTTGGCGATCTCTATAACAAAGAGGTACGCAAGATCATAGTGGACCTTCGTCTCCCTAAAGTTAATGAAGAAAAAACCGGCGTGGAGATTGTCAAAATCACTTACAAGTACAGGTACCATTTACTATGTATACTTTGTGTACATTTATGATATTAATCTAACAAACTTGATTGACCTAATAATTATATATATATATATATATATATAACACATATATAACACAAAACGGATGCACAGAACTACTGGGGGGCAAAAGCCAATATTTGAAGGCAATCCTCTATTCGCCACCATAGACCGTGTTGGGACAATCGTAGAGGGAGAAAGAGAGGAGGTGATGGTAGAAGGGAAACGCCTCGAGACTGCGGGGATGATGAAAGATGCAAGACTGATGGCGGACGACAACAGGCTGGAGGATGCTAAGGACATGCTCGTAGACGCGCAGAACAAGCTTCACGATTTTGTACTGGGTGGTGGTGCGCCTAATCCGTTGATTGAGATGCTGAAACTTGAGCTGAAAGAGCTTCTAAGGTTGATGCAATCCCCGGAAATCTACAAAAAACGAGGGCGCCCATTTGCACTCTCTTCTGAGAATTCTCATGCTCGCCAGCGTTTCGCAGCGAAAGGTCGTGATGTGGAAAAACTGCGCTTATTTTCCACTCCGCGTATGAACGCGTACCTTAAGCAAGCCAAGGCATTCGACGAGGACCCGAGCAAGGCATTGCCTACGGTTAAAGACGATGTGAAGCAAGAACTTGCTGCCGACCCCTTTGGTCCCCTCAGTGGAGCTCTTAGCTACTACATCCAGATAGCCATTCAGGCTCTCATCTCCGTTGACAAGATACTCAATACAAGTCGTTGAATGTATGCATCTGTGCTTAATTTAATTTCTTTTTTTTTTTTGCTGGAAAAAAAATAAACGGTAAATTAAAGATGTGGAGATGGTAAAGTAACCGATCGAGTGGTGTGTTTTGTAAATATGGTTTTTTATTTTTTTAACTGAGTGTTGTATGGTTTGTCCTTGAAATATATATAATAATTAGTAAACAGTTGTATTTTGTACTTTTACGTTCCAATAGTTTTACCGGTTTTTCATTTATGCATGTTCATTCTTTTTGCATAATCTTGCAGGGAAACATAAAATGAAAAGTAGCTTTTTAAAGAATACAAAATTAATGGCCACAAGGCAAAATGATATATATATATATATATTATGAATGACAAGAGAGAATAACAGATATTAGACATTAGTAGCTAGTACATCTGAACTAGGCTGGCACTCACAAGAAAAATCATTCAATAATTAAAGTACCGATTTAAGTCTTTTTACCAAGTTTTGTTATTAAATAGATTAACAATTTAGCAAAACTTGAAAATAAACTTAAAAAGAACACAAGGGGATGCTATCGTGGTTCGGTAACCACCTATATTCACAGAACCACATTCAAACGTTTGAACAATCTACTAAGTAAACAGTGTAACAACTAATTAAATGGACTTAAGTAACCCGAGACTCCCTCTTTAAATATGACGCTTATAAACTTACAACCACATAATAGACTTGTCCAGCAATCTCTCCTTGACTTAATGTTGAAATCCCTTCAACTCAATCAATTTTCTCCAGAAAATCTAAATTTTTTCTCCTGAAGAAATATCAAAACAATGACACTTACAAAATGATTTAACTCGTTGAATAACTGAAGCTTTACGATATATGCTGAGATAATTGTGAGACTTCAATTAAATAACCAAAATAATCCAACTAAAATCTTCAAAGCAATCCACTGTGTACAATCTAGTATAGATTTTATTGCAACAAATATGCAACAAAGCTATAAAGTTTGACTTGAGATCAACTTCCCTGATACTTGAAATTTTTCTATTTAAGATAGAATGAATATGAACGAATTCCTTAGAAACATGGATGGTCCGAATAACTCAGCATGATTTCCTTTGCCAATCAACCATTCCATCTATTTTCAACTTACCAAATATAATCAAAAATTGACTTTAATCAAATCAAATTAATTTAATTGATTTAAGCAGTTTCTAAATAAACTGAACTTTCCCAAAATGATATTATTGTACAGTTGTCATCAATCTTCAATAAGATCAATCACTTCAACATGCCAAAAATAATGCCAATAATAAAAAAACCAATCAAATCCGAAAATCAAATTCCAACAAGCTCTCCCTTTGACATTTTTGGCAAAACATCGAACAAACAAAGGAATCTGTTCGGATAAAAGTCAACATAATCAGTCATCAAAGTAAAGAACTCCCCCTCAATAAAAGCTGGACAAAATAATAACACCAAAATAGCACCAATTCTCCTCCTTTTTGTCAAAAGAATGCACAAAGCATTAATGAGTCGTGTGAAAATACGAAGAAGAACCAGCAACTCTCCAAACTGCATCAATCTGATCATCTTCGAAAATCTGCAAAAAAAAAAAAAAATAGAACCTCTCTCATGTCTTCAAAGCCATCTGTTGCAGGATTTGTTGTAAGATCTATTGCGACATTTCGAAATTAAAGATGGTGCAGCATCTTCATCAGTCTTGTCTTCCCTTAATGTCTACCACAAACTTGAGAAGATGAGGATGAAACATAGACACTCGAATAAATTGCAAACTCTAGAAACAAAACAACACGAAGTTTTTTTTTTTTTTTAAACTAGCAAAATTGACAGCATAAATAAAAAATTTTATTGCACCAAAATAACAACTCATGATATTCTAATCCAATTTGCACAAAGAATGAAACCAATAGAATAGCCCTGGAATTTTTTTTATAAACCTATCTACAAGCATATGCAATGCTCTACCAATTAGTGTCCACTCAAAGTTATATTAAAAAATAAAATCTTTACTATTATCAATTTCATATCAAAGTAAAATTTCAATATGAACCGAGTGAGTGTGTGAGATATAAAACTTGAATGAATGTCGTCCCCTTTTTGAACATCATCAATAGCATTTTGAATTTCAGGAATAGAAAAACCTGTTCATCTAGAACACTCTGCAGGATTTTTATAAATTTATTTTTGGGGCCTTTCACCCTATCTACAAGGCAGCTCATTTCTCATGGTAGATCATCCTCTACATATTGTGATCAAGGATGAAAATATCAGTATTGGTAGAAATATTGTACTCTAATTTTACATAAATATTGGACAAAGTATCGATATCGGTGAAAATATCAAAAAAATTTACAGAAATGACATAAATTTACGTTAGAAAATATTTTTATATGATAACATCAACATTAAAAAGAATTCATAAACAAGTTTTAAGTTGTCATCAACGGGAAATTTATCAGAATTATTGTATAAGATAAAATTTTCTGAAATCTTTTGTATTATTAATATGAATACTTCTATGATAAGTACTTGTTGGTAATAGTACTGAATAGCAAGTTATAAGTAGAAATTTCTGAACTATGATGCAGTTACCGATTTTCAGACTATATTCAAGAAAGAGGCACGGAACGTTGTGTTAAACCCACAGGTGGGCAAACATATAAATGTTAAGTTTAAGAAAAAAAGAATTGGAAGACATCAACTCTAGGGTTTTAGAAACAATCGGAACGAAAAACATATGAAAAAAGGGTTCGGAAGGCTGAACTGAGAAAATTGAGGTTTTCGACCGATTGGGGTTGACCAAGTCAAAATTTATCGACCAAGAGTTGATTAATAAGTCACTCTTAAAAGGATAGTCAAGGTTGAGGAAAGTTGACCAACTGTAAAAAAAACGCGGGTAAAACGCGTACCGAATAGGAATTAAATTAAACTGAAATAAGATAGTTATTAGAAATGGATGCTTGAGATTTAAAGTGACTAATTGGATGGAGGGCTGAGATTATGACATGTGTGAAGTGAATTGGTCGGTCAACTTAAGGAAGAAGAAAGAAAGATATTTTTGTTGAATTTTGGAAAAAGCCCTTGGAAATACCAAAATTGCATTTTAGTCCCTCCTACTTTTTTGTGGTTGGTTTTATAAGGAAAAAATACGAGAAAAATATCCATTTTTCATGCTAAGAACAGAGAGAACTCAGCTAAAGAGAGAGGAAGAAAAGAATTCACCCAAAGTGAGAAAAACAAGTTTTAATCGAAATTGACGAAACTACACCGCTAGTTCGCATCACTAAGGACTTCTCTTTATTCTCTAAGGAGAATTTCGGTTTTCGTCTCAATTTTTCTACCTTGGCTGCATGTTTGAGTATAGTAGAATGCATGAAAAAAATTTGCTTAAGATGATGATTAGCTTGTGGTTGTTAAAGGACTTGAAAATCTAGTGATTAAAGTATGAATTCTTGGCTATTGGATTTTATTTCTAGCAATTCTTGGTTGTGGAGAATTTTTGTGAGAATTTGGATGAAACCCTAGAATCATGATGTCTATGATAATAAAATTGAATGAGAAAGATTGTGTGTTCTGCTTGAAAGATGGAATTACGAATAAAACGAGCTATGGTTAGCTCAAGAAACACGAAAAAACAGGCGGAACTCTGCCGAAATTTAGTTTGGGAATCTGAACCAAACCTGAATAGAATGAAGAATAGAAGGAATAAGATGTGTAAATATGTTGATTAAATGATCAATGATGTGTGAAAATCTAATACGATGAAAATTTACAGTTTCGGACCAAAATTGAAAACTAGGCTCATGATCGAGAAAGTGCACCCGGTGCTGTTTTGGGCTAGAAAACTAAAATAAAAGATTAGTTACAAAAATTGACCAACACCAAGTTGAAAAAAATTTCATTCCAAACAACTTTTGTAAAATAACATTTTTTCTCAAAAATGACTTTAAATGCTAGTTTCGGGTTAATTTCCGAAATAGGTCCAAGATGATGATTGTTGGTCGAATATGCATGGGTTTGGGACATGATGTTGAGATAGTAAATATTTTAGTCTGGATATTGAATATAAGAATTGTGGACCTTTCTGAGTTAAATTCTATGGCAATTATTGATCTTAGATGTTATGAATGTACTAAAAGACTTTAAATAGTAGTAGAATTCTACTTTGCAAAAAGTCTGAGTCAAAATCAAAGTCAATGTAAAAATCAACCAAAAAGGCAAACTTTTACACAAAAAAAAGGTCAATTTCATAGGAAATTAATAGAAATGCGTAAAAAAAACGTAAAATAAGACTAAAATTACTGTCATAATGAGAAAAGATGACAGTAAAACGATGTTCAAAGAAAATATAATAACAGAAAAGAAGAAAACTAAAACTGTTTGTACCGGCCTCCATAAGAGAAAGTTTATTATAAAACCATGAGTGAGTTGGTTATTTTGGGTAGCTCCCCCACTCCTCATTGGGATGTATGCAACGATGCAACAGGATGGGGCTCATAAGAAGTAAAAGACATGAAATTGTAATACGACAACCGTTCCACATGAGAGTACAAAAGTCGTAGGTAAAAGACATGAAATTGTAATACAACAACCGTTCCACATGAGAGAATGGAAGTCGTGAAAAAGTACGAAATGAAAGAAGAAAAACATAAAACGATAAACGTTTTAGATGAGTAGAGTACTTTAGGATCTATGGTATGAATGCATATATGGGTGTGCATTATTAATCGCATTTATTATGGCCTATTGTTACTTGCAGAGCGAAAGCTCATTAAGTTTGTTCATGTTGCAGGAACCTCGGATAAGGCACCAGCTCCCTGAAACCTGTTGCTGGGCGTGCAGAGAGGATGTAGTGGTAGAGTGTGGGCAAGTGGGTGATGGACGCACTCCAAGACTGAAGACGCTACAATATGTGTATAAAGAAAATAGTAATTATAAATGTAAAATTATGTAAGTTATGTAATGAATGTAAAGTTTATGAGACGACAAGGTTATGCTTAGTAACCTTAAGTTACAGTGTATGTTGTAGTACCCAAAAGGCGACTATGATAATGGCCTGT